AGGTCTCGGACCGCATTCGTGAACACAAAGCAGACCTAAAACACGGTAGGACCAACACCTCGGCCGTGGCAGATCACTGTTATAATTCAGTAGGCTCACATGACATTGACTTCTCCAAGACAGAGGTTCTCTGCAAGCCATCTGGCTACCATGAGAGATTCGTTCATGAGGCTATCCACATATACAAACACAGAGACAATTTCAACCGAGAAGATGGATTCTGGCTTAGCAATCATTGGAAGGGGTTGATAAACCATTTCGGGTCTTAATTGATTGATCATGCTTACAGTGGCTTTCAGACCGCATCCATTATTTTCGTCTCCCCCCTCCTCTTTTCCGAACATAGATGGACTCTATGTTCACCTATGCCAAATCGCTCTCCGTGGTGCTAACGTTAAAAAAACCGCCACTTTTTTCAAATTTTCTTGCTGTGGTTTTCACACCTGATGATGATTGCTTGTGTTGCAGTCGAAACATCGTGAGAATTTTATTGTTTTAGATTTTTATAATTTTATTTTATCATTTTATTGTTTCCCTTCGACGTGACTTTACCGACAGAACCAAGAATAAGAAGGAAATAGTTTTGTAAAAATGCCCTCAAGGCAGCGGGTGAGCGAAGAAAGCTAATGGCTGGAAGAGAGGAGGCGGTAATGAGAGGGACATGGCCAGGGAGCGTGAGCAAGAGGGCGCAGGGAGCTTGACGCCTCTCCAGTGTGTAGCGTGGGCGATGTGCGGGCGCCCTTCGTCAATCCACTGCTGGACAAAGACCCCGGTGAGGTGTGTGGGTCGGAGGGACTTTGTTTGACGGCTCAGTTAGCGTGCCGGTTGGTGAAGGTGAGTAGCGTAGAATCAGAAATATCGGACGACAACTGGGTGCACTGCCCGCCGAGTAGCCCCCCGCCCCCCCCCCCTCCCGCAGCACCCGTTCGTACATAGCGATCGCCCATGCCAAGCACTCTCCAGCCTCAACGCTTGCTTAGCTTGGCGACGGCCGGCCAGACCTGGGCGCATTCGCGGTTCACGCGGTGGTCATGGGCGTGTTTGCCCCTGAGAATGAATGCACTTGCAAAGAGTAAGCACTGAATAAGGAGCGAGGTAGTTATCGTCCTCATTCATCATTTAATTAAAGAAAAGCATTTCCGCGCGTCCGCATGAATTATTGAACGCCTTTGTCTGTCGTTCGTTATTAAGATGAGAGCCTTGCCCGTGTGTGCGTCCAGAGCACGGTTGACATCCCCACGGCAGAATCCCACCTCCTCGTTCATTATCGATCAATCAATCTTTATATTAGGCGCCACTATCGCCCTCGATAAAGTGGACATCAGTGCATATTACAGCGGGATGGGGACGGTACGGTGGGGGGGGGGGGGGGGGGGGGGTGGGGGCGGGGGCGAGGGGGGGGGTCACGGAGCAACAGGAATGAAAAGAGAAACCCATCACGACGTCAGCGGCTGACATCGACTGAGCAAAGGTAAAAGTGCGACCGCGCGCAGGACGAAGCACAACCATTGCTCTCGAATGATTCCTTTTGAAGGGTGCTCACGAATATTGAAGAACGTGTGCCGGAATCGACGGGCAAAAAGCAAAAATAAACGAAATAGTAATAACGACTGCAACAACAACTAAAATATTGAAAGTAGAGGGGGGAATAACTAAACACTCCTCTCCAGCACCTGAAGGATCACGCAACGGCGATGCTGTGTTGACGTGCATCCGAGACTCCGTGCATCGGAGACTCCGTGTATCCGAGACTCCCTGTTTCCTTAGAGGGTTTCGGGTGGCAGGCCACAAGCACGTTTAGGGGTACACAGCAGCTGCCGCTCGACTCCAATCAATTCACAAAAAAATGCGAGGGCCACTCTTTGTTTCCGTTTTTGATGTGGCCCAATATTCACGACGACTGGAGTGTGGTGACGGCTCGTCATGTTGCAAGGGGTTCATTTAAAGTGTGCACCGTGTGGCTGGTGGTCAAATAATACTGTATGGTTCTCCCTGCATTGACCGACTCGCGTAGTTTCAGTACGTTCTTTGTATGCGTGTCGAGGTGACAACAGCGGCCCTGCGGTGGTTTGTTTGGCGAGGTTTGCGGGTTCGATTCCGGCGTGCTTGCCCTGGTTATTACCGTGGTTTGTGTTAACCGTAAAAAAAAAAATGTCACCGCGTGCAGCCCGCTCCATGCTGAACGTCGATCCGTTGCTTGCCGGCTTCACTCTTTAAATCCCCCCGAAATTTGAAGAGTTACCCGAATATCTACATGGGACTTTTGTTGTTGCTGTTGTTGTTGTTGTTGCCAGTATTGACAGAAAATAATTGTTTCTGACAAAAAAGGAGGTGTTAGCATGTTCAAAGACCAAATAGATACCTTTTGCAAGGTATCAAGTCTGCCACAAGTACGTGTGGTTAATGCAGACTTTGATGCCTTGCAAAAAGGTGTCTATTTGGTGTTCGAACATCTTAACATCTCCTGTTTTGTTGGCAGAAAGGGCAAAACCTATTCTTATTTGCCCGAATATTACTCAATTGGGATTATACACACACAGCAGAGGTGATCGCCCCCTACTGGCAGACTAATGCACAGGGGACAGCTGCCACTGGGGGTGCCCCTAGGCTCGACCACACAGCAGAAGTCATTGCCCCCTACTGGCAGACTAATGCACAGGAACAGCTGGCACTGGGGGTGCCCCTAGGCTCGACAACACAGCAGCGGTGATCGCCCCCTACTGGCAGACTAATGCACAGGGACAGCTGGCACTGGGGGTGCCCCTAGGCTAGACCACACAGCAGCGGTGATCGCCCATACTGGCAGACGAATGCCCGCTTGCAGGCCAACTGCTAAGACATCTTGTGCCACATCAAAAACAAATCATTGTTGTTATTTTTTATGACCAAAAAGACATCATCTTCGAGGCTGTTTACAATTTGCTGCAGATATGTTTTCTTCGACCAGACAGGAATCGATTAAAATGATAGTAAAAACGAGAGAAGCCTTGTCAAAGGATGTGATTAAAAAAAGGAGGGTTTCAGTATTCATCGACATGTCTAATAATTTAGATTATTTTGGCTGATGATTCACGGAATAAATTGCGCGTGTATGTAGAAATATATTTGTTGTGGTTCATGCAAATCATACGCCGACGTTACAGCTACGCCAATGGCTTGGACAGAACTGTGCGAGCGAGACGGGAAAGAAAAAAAACTGGACACAAAATGGCCGGCTAAAAAAATAGATACAAAACCGTTAATAGATTCTTTAATCAAATCACGGCTCCAACAGGGTCGCGACAAATTAATCGCATCGCCGGAATCGGAGGAGTGGGGATGAATTGTTATAACCCCGCCTAAAAAAAAACAGCAGACCCGTTTTCGAGCAGCAAAAGTGTCTCCTGGAACTGAGTTACAGGCCATTAATCTTGAAAGAGTGACCTTAAGCTTTGTAGGGAGAAATCAATAGTGTCGTTGTGGAGAACGCTGCATATGTAACAATATAAGCGGGCAATGCACCTCCTTCCCATAATTGTATCTACGCATGAAAAAATATATGATTAATGTATTATATATACTTTTTTATGCGAACTAGAACCCACATCTAACAGATAAAGTTTGTTGCCTATATACAAAGACAAAGATTCCCCGTATAGCCTGAACAGAGTGTTGGGGCAAGTGCTGTTAGCGAGCACCTATAAAGACTGGCATGACACACATGGGGGTGGGTGGCCAGCACCACCGCCTTTGTCTCCAGGGTGGCGATGTTTACAGACCGCACCAGGTACTCATTTGAGGCTGAGTCGACCAGGGGAGGCCCAGGACTGGTTCAGATAATCGTCACTGGTGTTGGCCGTGAGGAGGATTTGATCTCGGGCAGATTGAGATCGTAGCACAGCACGCTAACCGCTGCACCACCATTTGCTTAAGCAAGCCTCATGAGACACTGAATGTCAAAACCGGTCTAGAGTTGCTTGTATTAAACCAATGCTTCTGAAATAAAATAAAGCAAAAACATATTGCGTAAAAATATATTTATATAATTATTCCCTTGTTATTCGCGTGGGATACGTTCCACAGATGCTCATGGATTGCAAATTTCGCGAATTAACGCTCTTTTTTTAATGAATTCCCTTAAATAAATAGGTAAATAAGCTATTTAATACATGAAAATAATCACGTGACTGTATCTTATCACTTAATCGCATCACTTCCTCGCATCACATTCTCTCTCATCACTTTCTCGCATCACTTGATCTCTCATCCTTTTATCCATCACTTTCTCTGTCTCTCTCGATGCAATCCTGTAGAGTTCCAGGTGCGATTGACAGATAGCCACGATCGCGGAGAGCAAGTTTGTGAATTAACGAGGAAATACGTCAATAAGCAAAAAAAAACCATCACACAAACTCCGGTCGTCCGCTCAGCAGCTTTTCGCTAACCACCGAACAAGGACGGTCACCGCATCGCTTCTGCGGTCGTCTGGAATGCTCTTCCTTCCGACATTAGGAAGACACTGGAGCTATGCACTTTTAAATCATCGACATTGCGAAGAACTAATTTCTTTAGAACTGCTCAGTTTGTTGTCCTTCCCCCCGCACCTCCGATTAGGACGGTGGCGATGCAGGGTGCGAAAAATGTTCAACATGCATGCATACATGTTAGAGCCATGACCAGGAATCTAACCCAGTTCACCAAGTAAATAGCGAAGCGAGCTAAACGCTGCACTAACAGCTTGGAAAAAAGTAGTACATACGCTGATCCAAATATCTCTATTCGTTTGTCATTTTATGTCAAGGCATTATAAAACGCTGCCCGCATGTTCAGAACCGTTTAATCGTACAATTTGATTTCATATCGTGTCAAAATACAAAGGTATCTCTATACGTATATATATTTTTTTTAATGTAGGAGAGACGAATATGGGACGGGTGGCATCTTTCCTGCTCCTTCATCGAGTGCTGATGTAGAAGCGTGCTGTCCGCACGCTGCCCATGGTGCACCCGGGGGATACGTACATTGCACGTTGAGGTACACGGAGGCCTGGGTCTGTCCCACGATGTTCTCCGCCACGCACGACACGATCTTGTCGTTGTCCTCCCACGAGATGTTGAAGAGGCGCAGGGCGGTCACCGACTCTGACAACAAGTCGACCTGGGGGCGACAAAAAGAAGCCACGTAACGTGAACACACGCACGCTCCCGAGCTTCACGAGCCACCGCCGCCACCGTTGTGTATGCACGTACGATGAACTTCTTTCACGCCGTACGGAGCCAAACTGTGCTCAACGGAGGCGCGGGGGGAACGGATTGTTGGCAGGACGTGATGGGCACGGGCACCCACAATCCTTCCCCCGCACCTCCCATCAGCACGGTTGGCTACATACGGTGCGAAAGAAGTTCAGTGTATACATACATACATACACGTACGTGAAGCCCACCAAATGCGTTGGTCAATATCTTGTCTGTTGCTCACGCGCGATACGCGTGCAGGATGGGCGTGCAGCGGGTGTAGGAGTGGCGGCGCAGTGCAGTGGAGCGCCGCGCTATGAACCCGGTGACCTGAGTTTGGTTTCTATGCCACAACTAACATCGGTGGGGGAGTGATATCTGAATCCCCCCCACCTCCACCCCACCCAACCCCATTACGCCACCTTCATCGAACCGCGCACTTGCCACCGTCGTTGGTGAAGTATGGTCGAACGACTCTTATGACTCATGGCATGGGGAGGCCTTGTACTTTTGCGTCACACGGGAGGTGCGGGCGGGAGGACAGCAAACTAAAAACTAAACAATCATCCCATAGTGGCTTGACAACAGGCGATACAATGTTATTTAAAAAAACCCTCTCGACTCAAAGGTAAGTTAATAACCTAGGTAAGAAACAGAGGTCACGGCTCGGATAATGGGCCCACTCATAAGGATAACATGCGTGCACAACAGAGCCCACGTGGGAAAAAACAAAAACGAAAACGTAAATCCCAGCCACGCTTCGAGTTTCAAGATGACCCCTTCATCTGGAGACGTGGTCATGTTCGCGCTGCCACTGCATTCGCTGGGAGTAGTGTTGTCTTCTGTTCATTATTTCATTCCTGAATGCGTACGGAACGCTGTTGCAGAAACACGCAAGATCTACCGCACTTTAAGGTGTCCCCCCACCCCCTTCCGACCCAAACAACAAAAAGAAACGCGTTTTATTTTCTTGTCTTACAAAGCGGGAAAGTTTTCAGTTTCGCCAAAGTAGCGTGGTTTCCACCTCCCACCCCCCGCCCCACCTCTTTCTCGCCCGAGCTTTTAACTTCCCCAATATATTTCCGTGATCATGCACGACCATTGTCATTTTCACAACGGCACAAAGGATGCCCCTATTGGACTCTACCCCCGTCCTCCCCCACCCCGCCGTGCTCCCCACACTTCTTTCCACGCAACAACTCAACCCCCGCAGTGGATAATGACTCCGGCGCATTCAGTTGACCAATTCGTGCTGGCTTAAAAGCTGAACGAAGAAAAAAAAATCACACACAACGTCGCATTGAAGTCCCTTTCTTTTTTCCCCTTTCTAGGGCGTTCTCGCGCGTGCGTGCGCTCGGTGTGTGTGTGTGTGTGCGCGCGTGAATACAATTAAAGAACACTCAGCCTCAGGAAAAGTTATAATTATATATAAATCATCATTGAATTGTACGAATATAAATATTCAATTATAATTAAATCACATTGTACACCATAATCATACTCACATTATAATTACTGCATCATTATAAAAATGAACACTTAGGAAAAGTAACAGGAAATTTTTACATTTAGGAAAATTATAGAACACTTAGGCTTGCTCGAACGTAGGAGCACATTTTAACTTATTAAGAAAAAATTATATAAATATGCGTAAAATTTTTAGTCAAATCGAACAAAAAATTCTTCTCTCTTCCCGAATTCGTTTCAAACGCCGTTGCTTATCGGCGCCGTTGGCATGAGAATCCGTTCGGAAATCTTGCCGCGCGGTAGATCTCCCGAGCGTGTCAGAGATTGGCCTTGCGAGGGATTTTTTTTTTGTCCATCACAGGACTCCGAAATAAAACCTTTCAGGTGTAAGCAATTTACCTGCGGCACCTGCGCAGAGGAGATGTCCAGAGTGTCCCAGCTGACGACGGGAGCCGGGTGTCCCGACACGTTGCACGTGACCGACACGGCGTCGCCCTCCCGCGCCACTACCGTCTCTCGGTCCAACTTCACCTCCGGCAGTTCTGTAATCGAGCGCCACCCGTTAAGGCGCGCCGGCGGACAAAGGAAGCCGGCGGAGCCCCCAGTCCGATGTCCACCGATGGCGGCCCGATGTCGACCGCGGCGAGCGAGCGATAATTCGAACCGGTCCCCGGGCGGGCCCTCTCCTCGGGGGACCGAGCCTTGGAAAGGGGGTACCCACCGCGGCGTGAAAATATCGGAACTCGGGGAGGCAAAAGTGGCCGGGCGTGCGGTGTTGGTATCATCACGCCGGCATTGGCAGGCCGCTCTCACTAACCGCACTCGTCCCAGCAGCTGCTACGGAGGCTACCCAGCAGACCTTTGCCAATGGTAGCCCGACAGGTTGTACAGATCGTGTGCCGCGTGCTGTCCCTGGCGCGGCGCCCGACGTTCCGTTCCACGCGCCCCGGGAGCGTCTTCAGGAGGTTGGCGCGTGGAGCGGACCGTCGGACCCTCGTGCCGACGACCGCGCGGGCACAACCCAGAGGGCACGCCGGAGGGCGGCACAGTGGCGGCAGTGTCGTGACGCGAGCCTACCGGTGGGGGGGGGGGGGGGGCGCGTTTTTTGGTGGATTTTCTCAAATGTTTCAGATTTTCTCGCCTGCTGGCTATCAGATGCATTGGGTGCGACCTTTGGGAAGGTCAACTGAAGGGTGGACATAACCTAAGCTCGTGGCTCTTGCATGAACGAGACTGTGACTTTGAATCTCATTACACTTCTTCTTCCTACAACAGGCCGGGGCTGTGTGTACGCACGCCTGGCACGCTTGACCGCTTGTAAGTTCATGCGCGCATGTGTGCGTGTGCAAGCTGGCTTGTGTGTGTACCAGCAAATACAAAGGCAAATCCCTCCTCGTAGCCCGATAAACTGTTGGGGCGAATGCTGTTAGCGAGCACCTATGAGTGTCGCTTACGTTGGACGAGGGAGGTGGTGCAGCTGACACCACCAGTTATTTCCATTCGGACATGTACGTATCTTGCATGTATGTTGAGCTTCTTTCGCACAGTACGTAGCCAACCGTGCTAATCAGAGGTGCGGGGGAAGGACAACACACTCAACAAACTAAAAGCCGTTCTAAAGAAATTAGCTTTCGATCTAGATGATTTCAAAGTGCACATCGGTCGCAGAAGGCGCGTCTGAAAAAAGCGTGCGAATCCGGCGACCGTCTTCGTTCGATGGCTAGCCATAAGCCGCTACGAACCGATTCCCGCTCACGGCCACTACCAGTGACGATGATCTGACCCGGTCTTGGGCCTCCCCTAGGTCGACTCAGCCTCAAATGAGCACCAGATTCGGTGTATCAACATGCTCACTGGGTGGACAAAGGCAGCCGGGCATGGTGCTGGCCACCCACCGGCCTTCATAGGCGCTACTCGCTGACAGCACTTGTAATATCGGACGGAAGAGCGTTCCAGACGGCCGCACAACGCACGTCTGAAAAAAGCGCGTGGCGGCCGTCTCTGTTTGACGGCCGACCAAACAACGACGAAAAAATCTCCTACACGCCGAGCCTAGCATGCCCCCCCCCTCTCCTTCCCCCTCCCTCCGTCCACCGCCCCCCCCCCCCCCCACCGCCGCGACGTAACGAGCCGGCCCTGTCTCACGGCAGTAGGAGATCTGCATGTCGACGAGGCGGACGGTGATGTTGCGGTCGGGCGCCCAGCACGTGAGTTGTTGGCGCGCCAGGCCGGCCCTGTTTGCCCTCTGCATGTGCTGCAGCCAGCGCAGGGCGCACGAGCACTGGAAGGGGTTCCCCGTCAGCACCCTGCAACAACGCGGCACACCAGCAACGACGACGAGCGGCAGACACACAGGAAAAGACAGAAGTGGTTAAGAGATACTCGTTCGGGTTTCAGACGTCGCTCGACACCGATGTTGCCCATGTCCCGCAGTCGAACCGAGGTCACCGGGTTCATAGCGCGGTGGAACTAACCACTGCCCCACCGCTGCTCCCACAGTAACAAAGACTAAGATCCCCCGCCCTCCCCCCCCCCCCGTGTAGCCTTTCACCATTGCTGGCCGTCTTTGTCTCCCCAGTACACAGCGCACCAAAGCTACTCATTTTGAGGCCGAGCCGGGGGCATGGCCCCAGAACCAGTTCACATATTCGCTGCCGCTGTCGTTGATCGTGTGCGGGAATCGATCTTGGCTCGACCGGGGTTCGGAGCGCAGCGCTAACCGGTTGTCAAGGCTGAGCGGACTTCGGGTGGGCAGAGAACATTCCTGATGCCGGCACTCCGTTCTGCTGCCTTACGCCGAGTGGATTTCAAACGCAGACGCGGGGTTCAAAGGTAGGTGGGCAATTAGTGAAACGTTAATGGTAAGAGGTGGGTAATTAATGACTAGGCAAAGGATAAAAGTGGGTAATGGGTTAACGGGCAGCAAAAAAAATAATGCAATGGCGTTGTTGTTGTTGCTCTGTTACCATTTACAAATGCAGTAACTGTCTGGCTTCATCCGCTTTCAAGACCGTCCATCCGCCGTTCTCTTTGAATGGATCTCCAACTAATTTTTAAAGTTGTTACATTTTACGTTTTTTTATTTATTTTTGTGAAACGGATGATCGTTCCGTGTAGCCATCCTGCCCTGCTATTTTACCCACGGGAGATCCGTGGTGCTGCGTGAACCACAGCATGCAGACGGCAGCAACAGTGGCAACAAAGACACAAGACAAAAAAAGACATCGCGGCTTTGCAAAGAATGAGTACGGGGGTCCTGAAGGAATATTGTACAACTCGCAAAAGACGGGGTGATTAACCAGTCGTGAGCAAAACGTGCGCTAATCACAAAATAGAAATCAGTGCAATTCTAAGATAAAACGGCGAGGCACAGGTAAAAGTAGAACAGCGACGTAGACATAGGCACGTCGAAAACGATGGTGCATACGTGGGAGCAATTAATTGGTGGAGTGGCCACTACATTCCTGCCGGTATTCCTAACCTAGCGGAGAATCACAAGTCCTGTGCAAAGACTTTGACCGTAATTGCGAGCAATGAGATATATATACTACACATAAGCCGCTCGCAACGCACTTCTAAGGACCTCAAGGGTACGTGCTGTCTGGATCACTGCCCACGTTTAAAATTCATGCACGCGTGTGTATGTAAGTTCGTATTATATATATCTCCCATCAAATTTTCTCAATAATTAAATTTCTTAAAACTGGAAGTCAGTGGCGGAGAAAATACTAATTTATGTTATTTTTTTTTCCTTACACTGGACCTGCTGGATAACCAGACTCAGCCCAGCACGTCAATCACCCCGTTGTCATCTCCGCAACGGCAAATTTACCTCGAGTCACGGACTGGGGAAACTTTTTTTTACTTTTATTATTCAAAGGGATGGCGTCTAACTGGGATGTGAGATGGACTTTTGGCATAACGTGGTTAAATCGAGCACTTAAATTCACTCTCTCTCTTCTCTCATTTGAAGATAATTTAAGAAAAAAAATTAAGAAAAAAATCACAGCGCCACGCAGGAAAGTGAATTAAAATTCGCAACGTGAAGGTTAACCCTTGCGCTTTGGCATTATCAAGACCAAGCGGGGCACACATCCACGCCCAAGCCCTTTTGCGGATGACTATTTACGGTGGTTTAGATTTAGCTCTATTGTTGAATTTAATCATTGTAATTTGATAGGTGTGGGAATTTCCAAGTATATTGTAATATGTTTAATGGGCGTGAGTGAGTGGTGTGTGCGTGTGCGTGCGTGCGTACACGCGTGTGTGGAAATTACTCGTGATTCAGTGGCCAGATTGATTCAATATAAAAAAAATATAGCACTTTGATAAGTAGAAACATTAAAAGTCAATACATAATTTAGACCAAAAGCCCTATAACGTTGACCATTTGTTCTATTAGCTTATACCGCGTATGTGACTGTGTGTACGTATGTGTGCATGCATGTATGGGATGAGTGGTAGTGTAGCGGTGAGCCGGCTGCACTACAAACCCGACGACCCGAGTTCGATTCCCGCTCACGGCCAACACCAGTGATGATTATTTGAACCAGTCCTCAGCCTCTCCTAGGTCGACTCAGCCTCAAATGAGTACCTGGTGCGATGTGTAAACTTCGCCACGGGGGAGACAAAGGCGGCCGGGCGTGGTGCTGGCCACCCACCCTCTCGTGTGCCGTGCCGGCCTTCATAGGTGCTCGCAGATAGCACTTGTGCCCCTACAGTCTGCTGTAGGCTATATGGGGGATCTTTGTCTTTGAATATGAAAACACCAACACAACTTTTTGGATTAAAAAATGTAGGAACGACCAGTGGCACAGTGGTTAGCTCACTGCGTTATGAACCCGGCCACCTGATTTCAATTTGGCACCCATCGGCGGCGAGCTCACCGCTTCAACCATCCCACACCGAACAGTGTGGAGAAGTATGGTCAAATACCTTCCCCGTGACGTACATCTGGAGTGTCAGGTCAGAGGTTTTACCTCTAGATCTGTGCTTTTTTTCGTGTTTAGTTTGTCGTCCTTCCACCCCGCACACTCCGATTAGCACGGCGGTTGGCTACGTGCAGGTGCGAAAGAAGTTCAATAATCCGCACTGTATGACCAACGCCGCTTGGCGAGGCCTTCATCCAGCAGTGGAGCGGCACGCAAAGGACCGTTAAACGATTCCATCAGAGGCCAACGCATCGAGGGTTAAAGTGAGAATGCCGGTTTCTTGCGACGATGCATTTGCCCTCGCAAAGGCTCGGCCACGTGGTGTGATTGATGGCGCTAATTTGAATTGCGCTGGCAGATTGTCTCTCCGCTGTAATTGATTCAATTTGGGCACCACCTACAAGTCAGGGACTTTGGGTTTCATTTGGTGGCACCTCCTGCCTCCGATGTCTCTGGCTCCTCCGATGTCCCCGTAAATGCGACGGGGCATTATCGTGCGGTGGGGGGTGGGGCACTTTTGTTGTTGCGTGACGCCAAAAATAATTTATTTATTTTGTTCCCCAAAGTCATCAGTTTGGCACAACGGCATCTCATTCCACTCGTGATTTTCTCCGTATTTGAAAATAATTACGAAAATTAATAATCGCTTATTAGCGAGGTGTAAATTGTATTACGCTTAAAGGGTTGGCTCCACGCACGAGTTGATGCCGCAGTAAACACGCTGGTGCCGTGAAGGGCATACTCTACAAACGGGGACCATTTTCCCACCAATAGTTCTCCAGGTAGTGTTAAAATGCTAAGATTAATATCCGATCCTTGAGCTCTTGATTCCACGAGTACAATCCGCTCTCCTATAACGTGTACTTTCATGAATGTATTAGGGAGCACAATTTTCATAACGCGGATGGGAATTGGATGTAACACGATCGAGCGAACGGGAAGTACGTCGCGCGAGACGGAATACGCAATTGTACGGCTGCCTCGGCATAGCGTCGGACAAAGCGGGATGCTGCTGGATGCTTCTAGATGCTACCCATGCACCTCGGTCTTTGTTCAGCCTGCGTACGCATCTCACGTGTCATCGCGGACTGTGCTTTACCCCCATACATTATACATCATCTATTATAATGCGATCTTTTTCACAACGCGGTGTTTTTCAGGAACGCAACTCCTGCCGCCGCGTTGTCGGAGAACACGCCGTACAAATGCACGCGTAGGCATACACGTCCTTCATACTGTCACGTGTTCACGTCGGCAGGTCACAGCCACTAGAGGGGCTACCATTCACCGGATCCGTGACGCTGAGTCGCGACAATTCGTCGATGGGCGTGGCTCGCTCCAAGTACAGGGAATCCTCTACTTACGAACATTCGACTTACGACCTTTCAGAGATACGAACAAACCTGTCTGTATGTCCAGTTGCCTGTTTTCGGACCGAGAGATATGTAATTTCAAACTGCCGCTGTGGCAGCGTCTACATTTGCAGAAAATGAAGAAGCAGTGGCATCTACGTCTACAGGAGATTAGTGCACATGCCGTACAACAGGAGTAAAGTTGGACTTAAGAATTAATCGACTAACTCGTCTCGTAAGTAGAGGAGTCCCGGTGTCTGTTTGCTGGGCCGCCTTTGTCACAGCTGAGCCTAACTTGTATACAACACCAATAGCAGCATCGGCGGCAGCATCAGTAGTGGCAACAGTGGCAACCAGTAGGAGGAGCAGCAGTTTCAGCAAACGTTTGCCAATATATGGCGGTGATGTTATCCATTGTGCCTCTGCAAAGCTTGAATGTGTGTGTATACAACACATCATCGCCCATGCTCTATCCACTGCCGGAATTTTAAATGTGTTTAAATACTCTCTTTCCCCGTGGTATATACAAAGATCCCCCGTGTAACCTTAACAGACTGTAGGGGCAAGTGGTGTTAGCGAGCACCTATAAAGGGCGGCACGGCACACGAAGGGGTGGGTGGCCAGCACCACGCCCGGCCGCCTTTTTCGCCCTTGTGACCGTGTGTGCACATCGCAACAGTTACTCATTTGAGGCTGAGTCGATCTAGGGGAGGCCCAGGACCGGTTCAGATGATCGTCACCACTGGTGTTGGCCGTGAGCAGGAATCGAACCCGGGACGCCAGGTTTAAAGTGCGGCGCGCTAACCGCTACACTACCGCTCCCAACATACATATGCAGACACGTGGAAAATATATATACACACACTGCCAAAAATATAGGTGCTGTTAGTGACCACCTATTTAGGCCCCGTATGCAGTGCAAGGCATCGCGGTAAGCCAACAACAAACCACATGTCCGTCCGCCTTTGTCACTCCAGTGCCAATGTTCACAGGCTGCACTCACTCTTGTCTTATTATATATTT